TGATCCCGCAAACTCCCGCCAGCCCAGGTACGTGCCTTCGCATCATCACCCTTGAAATCAAGAAAGAGCTCTCAATCTGTCAATCCTTGCTATGTTTAGACCTGGTGAGCTTCCAGCACGACCACTTCAGAAGTCCAATAGCCAACGACCCGTAGCTGCAGCAACTCAAGGGCTGCTAACATCGGACTGAGTTGACATCAGTAACTCAGTCTCGTTTTTGCGGAAACGCAGCACAAGAAGTGAGTAACAGCTGCCTCAGCCTTAACTCAGAGCCATTCCAGAGGGGTCAGTCACATTGACTCCTCCGTCGAGCTCCTTCGTAGCTCAGACGAATCCCCCCCCTAGATCGGATGAGACGTTGCGGTTCTTACCTCCGGGCGTCAAGAGGTAAGGAGATGCTACTTCCGTTGTTGCCTCGTGCATGTGCCGGCCAACCGGTAAGCTCCCAGCCCTGCGACACGCTTCAGTCCACTCCAACTGAAAGGGGCCGTGCCGAAATCGGATGGATCTTCCATTAGATCATGGGCACATACACCCACTGGTACTGCCCACTGTAACGCCTGTCCTATGCAGGCACAACTCGACCAGGTAAGTAATCTTTCCTCCCCCCCTCTCTCTCTCTCTCTCTTACAGATTGGCTGCTCCCAAAGGTATGAACCGCCTGCTATAACCCGACTTGATACCTCGTGCCTCCCCCAAGCGGCATCGACAGTGGCGTTGGCAGCGAGGTGAGTCGAACTGTTCCCATCGACTTGCCCAACACTACTCCCATCGACAGCAATCCTGAGTGAATCTGCTACTAGAAACGGGGTAGGTTCATCGAGTTTCTATTTAATATATATATATATATATATATATATATATATATATTTTTTTTTTTTTTGTCTCCCTACTCGGCGCATCTCACTTCATGCTAACCTCTAATCCTACCATCTCAATACTTGATCTAACTCCATAGTCAGGGTCGCCGCCCTCGAAAACCCCCGAATCACTTCCTTCCTCGCCCGTTTTCGTGGAGAAACGGGTGAGATCTTCACTTTGCACTTTTCCCTCCTCCGATCCACCATCTCCCGCGCACTAACTTTTCTGCTAACCTTCTGTTTTGCTACTCCTCTACTATATCTAATGCTACCATCGAGTTCGCCTGGCCATAAAACCCATGTTTCGTCACTGATCGGTATGAACCCACTTCTTCTTTCGCCTCCGCCATCACTCCGCGCGGTCTATCTCCTTACTAACTCCAATCTTGCTCTACTAACACGAATTCCGGCCTCAGATTTGGGGTCGCCCACACCAGAAACCCTGGATTAGTACTTTTCCCCACCGAAATCCGATAGGGAACGGTGGATTCACGGTCTCACCTTCCCGCCATGCTCATCTCCTCGTTAGCTTCGTTGTGCCAACCTTCGAATGTACCCGGCGTGAATTCGCGCCAGGTTCATCTCCTTTTCCTTAGCCTTAGTTTCCCCATACTCTCTTTCGTCAATCATCTTCCCCATCTCGCTTTCCTCTGCCTCCCTTTGGCTAGCGCTGCTCTTGGTCGCGTAGTAGCCCGGTAGAAGTGGCTCTCGCGGTGTGTTCAACAGCTCCGGCTGCCTTGAGAGAAACTTCGAAGGGAACYGGCTCCTAGACGGTTCGATTGGTYTTTCGCCCCTATGCCCAAGTCCGACGTGCGCAGCAACACCGCTGCGAACTTCTGCCACAGCGCTTGACACAGGTTCACRTCCCCGTTCGTCCGCCAGCCACTCCGCTCTCCCCGCAGCGCTACCTCTCGTTGGTGCTCGGTGGTCAAGGCTTCGCAGCGCCTCCTCCCCCCTACTGCGCTATCTACTCCCTTACTTGCATGCACCCGGCGCCCGCCCGCGTCCGGGTCCATCCGCCATTATGCCACCAGCCTTTCCTTCTTCCGCYTGGGCTCGGTAGGAGTCAAAACACATCATTAGCCCAGACACCACCCCGACACCGGTTCATATAGACAGCAGGACGGCGATMATGGAAGTTGAGATCCGCTAGGGAGTGTGTAATACCTCTGCCTACCAAACCGTTCTKCCCCACAGYGCACGGTGCTGAGACGCGCTATCCCAGCTTGGCTTACTGCAAAAGCTACCGGCCGCCGAGTACTTCCTTCAGACTTATACCTCTGACGGCTCGTCGCTCCACCCTTTCCCCTCGGTTCTAAGTGCTTCTCAGGCATTGACACGGTACCACGCCCCAAAATAGGACGGGGCCGCCAATAACCGTGGAAAAAGTAAAAAAAAATAAAAATAAAATAATGAAGTAAAATAAAACTAAGATAAAAAGAACAAATAAAATAAATAAAGCAAGATAAATATTCAGACAGGAACAGGGGAGCTGCTAGCACCTCGCCAGTGCCGCGGGTCGGGCCCATCATTACATCCATTGGCAAAAGGCGAGGGGGATAGTCTCACAGGCCCATTAACCCCTCAAGCCTTTCCGTCGCACTCCTTCGCTCCTTAGCCGCATGATGTTGGCCTCGATCCCCACGCCTGTCGCGTACCAGTCCAATGCTCTAACCTATAGGGCTAAGCCCAAGCCTGAGACCAGCGCCCGTAGAGTACCATACAAGGCGGTGCGGTGCGGCGCTTTGGCCCGACAAACCGGTTGTGCGGCTCCCAGTGCCAGCGTCGGCTTGTTTTTACCGTGCCATAGTTGCCCCGCGCGCCATCCTACACTCCCCGTTCACCGCACGAAGTCGCGCCGTCGTCGGGGTCGTTCTCCGCACGAGCGCTTGACTCGACCAAATGTACCAAAAAGAAAATATCCTTAATTCCTGCTTAATCAAAAATAAATAAATAATAATATCACCAAGCAAAACGCCCGAGGTCTGAGCCGACTCTTACGATCAACAACAGAAAAGAATCACGGCCGCCTTAAACCTGCGCGCTCGCGCACTCGCTATTGTGGCCAACCACCCAGTCAACGCAATTACAGACGCAGCCGCGCTTAGCGCGGTATACTTAAATTCTAAACCAAAACTGTTTTTCTGTTACTTGCAAAAACCAGGGCGGATACCCTTGTAAGGGTATTCGCACCGACAACCTTACCGGACCATATTAAGTGACGTCCCCGACGCTTCGCCAAATCTGAAAGCTATAAATCCATTCACACTCCAAATGCTGACGAAAGAAGTGAGCCAATCCGATTAGCCGACAAACACAGGGTAGAGGCCTCCATCAAACCATGCCTCCACAACTATATGATGCCAGGTTTCGAACCCAGACCTCTTACTGCCCAGAAATTAGGACGCTGACAATATAAGTTTCAAAGACCTTCCCAATCGTCCTCTCCCCGGTCCTAGACAACCTTCGGCTTCTCGTTGGGTGTCCCTAGTCCTGGCAAAAACTAGGGACGCGGGCCTTAACCGAGACCTTTGAAGGCACTCTCGCCTTCCTTCTCAAAATCTCTCGCAATGAAATACACATAAGTATATATGTAAACTTAATATCCACTCCGCTCTTTCTGCAGTCTAGTACAGAAAGACCAGGTCTCCATCTTGGCCCACCATAGCCTGGTTGATCGGACCAGGACTACGGCCCACCGCATTGTTATTTAACGGCAGTACCCTCGTTGGTTACGCAACGATAGAGTTTCTCCTGATAAACACTCAATTAGGACCTCCGAAAATCTCAACCTTCATTATCCCACGGAGTAATTTCCCTGGGGTGGGTAACTCCCCTTAAACTCTTACCCCGCGGTCCCGCAACCAGGTTGCGCTGGCTAGCAGCCATCCAATAGGGTTACGCCCTAGAGGTACTAACTTCTTTTCCGTTAGCTTGGTCTTTTTTCAATATGTCTCAGAATTAGCACCAGTGGTTAAACGGGTGCGTCGCAAAACAAAATCACAGGCTCACTGCGCGATACGCAGGGGTCCGAAGGCATTTACCAGCCCTCCCTCAATAGGCATGGCATCCTTCGTACGCTTACAAACAAAATCACCGCTAAATCCACCAGGCCGTGACCCCTGACTTGATCAGAGCCAGCAGCTACTCACCCTGAGGCATCTCTCGCCCTGCACTTATTGCGACTTTTTCAAACATTCCAAAGAGTGGCCCCTTTTTCGTCAGACTTTATCACTCATCAGGCAACTTACCATGTCATAAATCAGTTTACTCACCTTTGAAGGTGAGTTTCCCAACAACAAAAACATCCCCTTTTTCCAAAAATCCAAAGGGCTCTCATCATAAGCAAAAACACCCCCTCTTCCAAAAATCACGAGGGGTCTCGCCACAAAACAAAACACCCCCTCTTCTAAAAATCACGAGGGTCTTATCATAACCCACATTGTCACAAAAGCATCCCCTTTTCCAAAATCCAAGGGGGCTTATCATAAACAAAATCACCGAGAGACCATCTTATGGGTCCTCATCACAACTTAGGCATTCAATAATCAACATGATAGGCATTTTTAGCCTCCTGGGTTCATAAATCTTCAAATCCTCACAACCTTTCACAGACGGACTGCACTTCCTCCCCTTATACTCCGCCCTATTAGCTGCCCGTGGGCAAGTCGCACAAGTATACCGAGGAGTAGACAGTTTTACTTACAATCATATTCACAATACCCAAGATACATGAAAGGTTTTTCACACATTGTCCACACAAACTCATTATACATCAGAGTACAACCACACATGTGAGAGAGACAAGTGATCGTCACATATAAGAATGGTCCCTGAAGGAAACCTCATCATAATATACACTCAGGGAGTACAATGTCTCACATAGAAAGTGTCTCCAAATCATAGCTTGCTCAACTCAAGCCACACCAAACCCACACTAACAACTATCCCTAGAATACATGTCAAATCTGTCTCTCAAAGGCCAGGGCGGTGGCCACCTAAATATGTACATGCCTCATCTAAACCACCCTGACCCTCAAAACCCCAACTCAGTAGGGACACAAAAGTTCAAATCTACATTAGTAGCAATCATCAAAAAGATCCTCTAAGTCTAAGAGGGTATCACACAGACCCTAAGCTGATGTCTCACAAGATACTCGCCCACCTATATAGACACCCCGACACTATCTCCTCAATTCCTCCTGGTTTTGCCTATATAACTGAGTCCTAAGTCCATCTGTGGACTTCTTTACTATCCTACCCTGTCTATCATACATCTTACCCCCTGCCTCTGAGACCTTCCCTGCTGCCTTATCCTCAAGGAACTCGAGACAGTCCAGAGCATGATGCATGCTCCTCTTGCAGTAGAAACATAACTGATCAACCTTCCTCTTGAACTTCTTCTTCGTGGGCTGAGGAGGTGGTGATGAAGGAGATCCTGCCAAGGTACTGACAACCCCCTGCTGCTTTGCTTGAGGAGCTGCGGTACTAACGACCACCTGCTGCTCTGCCTCAGGAACCGGTCCCCCAGACCCAGATCCTGTAGCCCAAAACCCCAGTCTGCTCCTCAAATCCCCTGTCACTGGGACGTACTCAGGTGTGTCCAACCTCTGAGGTTTCTTCTCGAGTGTCTCTC